AGTGTTTCTCAACCTTGGCAACTTTAAGATGTGTGGATTTCAACTCCAGAATTCTCCAGCCAGCATCTAGTGGACATCATTATTCCATGATCTTAATGCCAGGCAGGCTGGTAGGGGTACCATAACAACCTTAAGTCACAGACTGGTCAATAATGAGGTAGGCCAAGAATGGGAAATTGTTGTCAGCCCAAGGACTGCATTCTAGTAGGGCTGGGCCAAAGTCAAAGACAGAATCTTGTACAATAAACTAGAACTCTGTTCATTGTCAGACTCTGACAGACTTTGGAATATGTTACATGTTATGCACAGTTGCTCAAATATAATGGTGAGAAGCAGCTCAAAGTCTTAATCCCATCCATGCTTACTCAGAAGTGAAGTAGCAATAGCAAGGAAGTAGAATTACTTGCAGTAGCTATAGAACAGCTACCCAAAAGCTAATTTTCATTAACCATCTGGACACTCATACAGACAAAAACACCACATTTTCTAGCTTGTGATTCCAATCTATTGCATCCATACCCAGATTTTAGATGCCACTGAGTAGAGTTAGGGTCGTTTCAAAGTATTTTGTTTTGGTTTTCTATAATACGCATTTTTTCACTGCTCCACATGAGCAAGTGTAAAGTGAGGCATATTACCACAAAATCTCCTCATTTCCTATATATGATGACAGAGCTGAGCATGCACTGACCAAACACGAAAGGAATCTTGGGACTGTGATGCTTAATGAAAATCTGTGTTTCAATGTCCATATTTGAGATCAGAAAGAATAAAGCAACCATCATCTAAATACCTTAATACAAGTCTACAGCATGAAGCCTCGCCAAGGATGTTATAGAGCTGGAAAAGGTGCCAAAAGAAGCAGTCAAGGAGATGAAGGGGTGGGGAGGATTACCAATCTATGGAAAGTGACAGCATTATGAGTTGTCTTGGTCTCATAGGGTGGAGACTGCTTCGTTGGCTCATGCCCTGTTCCTCCTTCAAACTTCCAACTGTCCTAGATGCAGCTTGTTTTACTTAAGAGAACACCTCTAACTCTAGTTCAGTCTCAGTTGAACATCAGCATGGCAACTATAGAAGATTTTAATCAAAGTTGCAAAGGCTACCAAATTTTTCCTTTAGTAGCCATCCAACAGACATCCCAGAAGACTTGGTATTTCCAGTCCACCAAGCTGTTTTCTTTCAGCAGAGCTACACTTCTCAAATGAAGACTTTGGTTTAGATTTCTTCTCTCTCCTTTTGGGAAAAGTCAGTGGCAAAGAATGAAATCATTAGAAGGAAGTTGCTGGATTTGAAACAAAAGCACCCACTTTCCAGCAGATGCCTCTTGCAATTCAAGTTTCATTTCATTTCCATACATATGCAATCCCATATATGTCTACTCTGTAGTAACCTAGTTGAGTTCAGTGGGACTTACTCCTAGGTATGTGGGTGTTTGGATCTAATTTTTATTTGTGTCAAAAATTCATTCTTTATTCCCTATGGCACCTCTTTGCCTTTATAGACGGGCTTGTTGTGGGTTGTTGTTTTTTTTAATCCTCATTTTACACTCCCCCTGTTTCTAAAACAGGATCAGCTTGTAAGAGAAAAAGCTGAGATAATTTATTGATCCAATTTAAATAATCAAGGCCAAAATAATTCAAGTGTGTGTGTGTTAAGCAAACAGCCCCCTCCTGGTGCATAATCAGACTTCACTCTTCTCCCTGATCTAAAATCTGTGTAGGAGTAGCAGCCTGGCAACATATGAGTTAACAAGGCAGCACGTGTTAAGTTTAGCTGAGTAATGCACCTAGTTAAAGTTTTCAATGCAGCTGCAATTTGGAGAGAGAGAGAGAGAGAGAGAGAAGGAAGCTGTGGAGCTGTCGTTGCGTGAGCCGAACTCATTTTAAAGGGGGTCACAAATGCAAGGTCAGTAACACGCACTGAAATTAGGAGCCAGTTCTAATTTTTTTTCTTTTTCTCCACAGCTTCTTCCTTCAGCACTCAGCGAGAAAGCTCAGCTCCTGAAGCGTATAGCCCTTCCTTGTTAGTCTGAGTCACCAAGAGAGCAAGGTTGGATTGTTCAATTTTAGAAATGGAAAGGAAGTGTCTCAGAAATGGCAACACTTGAAACATTTGATCAGGCTCGATAGACTAAAATTAATCTTTGTTAACAGACAGTTTTTTGGTGTGAGATGGCACGGGGCTCATTTTTGCAGGCCAGGACTTGAAATTAGGCTTAAATATCGGTTTCGCTTTGGCTTGGCGTACCGTTGGGAAAGGTGTTGAACAGGTTGGGTAACTTTACTGCTGTGGGTGGAATAATGATTTTCCCCCTTTTCAGGGCTGGCATTGGATTGCCAGCTGTGTTAAAGACAAGGCAAGCTGTTTGCCAGTCTACTAAAATCAAGCACAGGTGGCTTTATTTCCAGGTATGCCAAAACAGCGTCTTTTGTCAAAGTGACTTGCCTAGGAGACAATTGGGGAAATGTAGAAATATGTTTTAAGATAAGGTGGTTAACTCTAGAAGAAGAAAGGGGAGGGGAGAATGTTGTCAGCCATGTGTCTCAGTAGAATTCCTTCTGTCTGTATGTGATCTGATCGTTTGGTGACATAGTTCTTTTTATGTGGCATTATTTGAAGATGGATGGATCATCTTCCAATACATCCAAGAAGAAGTGTGTTGTCCTACTGTGATCAACTCAATTTGAATCAAAGGAATGATCTCATTCCCTTTTATTCAATGGCTGCCTGAAGCAACAAATGGATCTTGGGTCTCTCTTGATCCCAGTTGGCCATTGGGTATAATTCTGTTTCTCTAATACTTATTCAGATGTGAATAATGTCAAACCTAAATTCAGAGCAGGGGAGAGAATATACCATGCAAACTGTCTAGTGAAGGATTTCTTGAAATGTTGATGGCATGCATTTCATAATAATGAAATATATAGGTTCTATGATTTCTCTTTTTCTGTTGTTTTCTTTATACAGTACAGTAGTTCTTAAAGTTTAAAATTACCAGTACACTCCATGGGACATTCCTGAACAACCAACACCTTTCTTCCAAATAGCAACATGTGGATTTTTCTAAATCTACCTGAGGCTGGAGTTTTTAATTGAGTAGAGCATCAACAACATGGACAGTGTAGCTTTATTCAACATGCTAGAGTGTCCAGTGTGCCTGGAAAAGCTGGATATTTCAGCCAAGGTGCTTCCATGCCAGCACACATTCTGTAAGCCTTGTCTCCAGAGAATTTTGAAATCGCACAAGGAGCTGAGATGTCCTGAATGTCGAACTCTTGTTCTCAGCAATATTGAAGAACTGCCTTCCAACCTGTTTTTGATACGCTTATTGGATGGAATCCAGTTTGGACCAAACATGATGAAGTTTGGCTCACTCCAAAGATCCTCAACCTCCTCTGCTCCTGCTTCCATCAGGAATATGGGGGGAGGGCCAAAAAACATAGAACTCAATCAACATCGGATAACTTCCAGTCCCAGGATTCCTTTGGAAGAGGTAAGCAAGGTCATTTCTTTCATCACTACCTGTATTAGGAAGACTTTTTAGTTACTTTTTCATTTTTAAGGGGTAGATGAATTCAGCTAATTATAAAGCTGGCTGACTTCTCTCCAAGGTCCCTACCAGTGTTAACTGGATTTATACAACAACTCTTACTTTCATTTTAAATGTATTCCATCTGGAACCATTCCTAGCCAGAAATCTGACTCTTGAATTCTCAGAGGTTTGCCATCTCCAGCTGAGCCCAAAATTGAGCTGAGACTTTTCAGGTAACGTCATAGCATGACTCTTTCCAGCTTTAGATTCAATCAGGAAATGGATAATTTTTATATATGTATGGAAAAGCAGAACTATTTTCACACCTGTCAAGAACTGAGAAAGGTTAGATGTTCACAAAACCTTTTTGTAAAGTAATACTCCGTCCTGTGCCATTACAAAAGCAGTTTTTTTTAAAAAAAACTGTTTTTTGATCTTTTGAAGGTGTGACAGGATCAGAATATGGATAAAAAGTAGGTCACATGTGTCCTGGACTCATCACTTTTCTGGTAATTCCAGTCCTCCTTAAATTTAAGGGCCTCACGTACACAAAGAGAGACAGCTCATTGAAGGGTTCACAAAGACACACACACAATGATTGACTTCACACATATGTGAAGGTAACTGGCAGAGACAGCTTTCGGTTCATGTAATTAAGAACTGTTTTTCTTAATTATAACTGCATGCTTTTTAAACAATTTTGCAAGAGTATGAATTTGGAGGCAGGTCTCTGCAGTTTGCTTTTTCTTATGTAAGTGCTTTCCTATTTAGTATTGGAACCTCGAAGGTCTTGATTACCCTCTGACAATGGCCATTTAGGACCACAGACATCTTAAGGAAATCTCAAAACAATTTTATTAAGAAAGAAGGCAGGTTAACCCAGCTTTATTTCTTCATTCTCTGTATTGGACTGCCTAGGATTCCCAAAACATGTGGAGGCTGGTATGTCAGGGAAGGCAAGGTTAGGATGTTAACCCAGGTAAATAATGAGCAAATCATCATGGGTGGAACCAACAGGGTGCCTTTACCCAGACTTGCCCAGCTTGAAGTTATCTGTAACCTAAATAGTTTCCTAATTATCCATCAGTCCAGCTTTATTCTCCTTATCTCATTCATGTTGCAAATAAATCTGCATAATCTGCCATGCAATTCTTATTCACAAAAAGTGGCTTTGAAAACCTGATACTCCTGTACAATTGTGTAGCTCAGGGTTGAACTGTGGAGTCCTTGGGGTTCTCTGAGCTTGGTTCTTTTCT